GGACAATAGATCCAGTCGCTGCCCATCTCCATGCCACACAAAGAGATGAGGATGGCGTCCCAAGCACAACTAGGGAAATGCAAAGCTCCCAGCTGCCTATTGGGTCTCTCCGGAGGAGCCAGAATTTCCCCCTTGTTTTTCAACAAACTGTGAATAGAACCATCTTTCCTGTCGGTGGCTTTGCTACGAAATATTTAACCAAACTCCCCTATGACTCTTTTCTGGCTCCAGGAAAACAAGGACAGGAAGGACCAAGCTGCAAAGGCAGAAAAAAGGAAGAAACAGTTAGAAGAAGAAGAGGCTAAGAGACAAAAGGGAGACAATGGGAAGATCAGTAAGTATTTGAGAAGGTTTCTTTAAAAGGAAATGTACATACAATCCATAGAGAGACAAGGTGGGGTGAGGTAATGTCTTTTATTGGAACAACTTCTGTTGGGGAGAGAGACAAGCATTCAGGCATATGTAGAATTCTTCTTCAGGTCTGAATGGAGAAGTTTATTGGACCAGAAGTTGGTCCAGTAAAAGATTTTATCTCATCACACACCCATCCCCGCCTCCCATCACTTGTCTCTAATCTCCTGGGATCAACAACCCTGCATACAATCCATTGTCAGCCAGGTGAGGGAAGATAAAAGCACCAAACTCTTCCAGCTTTAATGTTCCAGTAATAATCTTCGGTGTAGATTTCTGAGTGTTTGATGAATGAAGGCTTTTGGGTGCCTTAAGGAGACCATTTAACAGAGTGTAAGAGAAGCAGCAAAGGAGAGAAATAAGATTACCCCTCCATGACCATCCATAACATTCAAGATACAGAAGAGGAGCCATTTAAAGCCCATGGGCTGTATGGTGCCACAGGTGTACTTGGCATAGGACAAAGGAGAGAGAACACTAGGGGTGTGTCTAGACTACATGAGGCATAAAGGATCTGCCGACGAAGGGTTCTGGGGTCGGCAGATCCCTGTCTAGACTGCTGCGCTGTGCCAACAAACAGCTGATCGGCAGACCGCGGCGGCCATTTTGATTTAAATGAAGTGGCGATTATTTAAATCGCCACTTCGTTTCCCTTTGTCGTCCTGCCTCATCTACATGGCTCCATCAACCGAGCCATGTAGTCTAGACACATCCTAGAGGTGCCGGCCCTGGTTAGCAAGGATTCTGGTCCAGATTCTCTGTTGCCCTTGGCCTTCCACAGTCATTCCCATTGATGCAGAGTGTTTACAGAGGGATCAGATCAGAGTGGCAGTGTTTGACCCCCACTTTGCACTGAAGTGAGTAACTATGCTAGGGGCAGGGTATAACAGTGGCCTCACAGCCGTGGC